AATTTCTAGGAAACGAGGACTCGGGATTATCGTCTCATCTAGAAATAACAATTACCTTATTAATTGGCTTATTCTCACCATTTTCTACGTACTTCCATAAAGAAAATGAGGAACATACCGGCCTCACGGTAAAAATAGTGAATCTCCTGTCCAGATTCATCATAGTCGATCAAGACTGTGTCTTCAGTGTCTAGGACTGGTATAAAATTATCCATTGCCCCTTTTACACTTCGATATTGAGAAAGTCAACGGTGAAACCGAAACACTCGCGAATGGTGTCAACCGACGTATGAGAAATAAGAAGATCGCAATGGAGGTGTACAAACAATTGAATCTCCAAGAACGCAGGGGACGAAGCCCGCTAGTTTAATATATTTTGAATTTCCGTTATAATTTCTCCAATAAAATTTTTATGTTGTAACATTCTGTCGCTAATTTTCTGGAAGAAATTCAAATTTATTGAAATTTCCCTGTTGAATATCTAATAAAATCAGCGCAAAATGGGAATAGAAATTTTCCGTAGAATCCCAATAGAATTTTCTAGCGAGTTGAAAAATTCTAGTTGACTTTTTGGTGATTTTTAGAGGATTTCTCCAATTCATGTGAATTTTCCCTGTTGATAAATTAATGGAATTGTTCATTGACGCCCATTTATGACCATCCCATTCGCAGAGTGCCTGTCTATTTGAATTCATCATTGATTTCTCTGATTGACTTGAAAAATTTTAATAATCGTTAAACCAATTTAAGTAGTCTCTGTTCAAAGTTAGGATTTATTAGGATGATTTTGGAAAAACTACAAATCTGTAACATTTTTTATCATTACATTATTATAATCAGTACATCATCGATAAATGACATAACAAGTCATATGCAGAAATGACAAGACGTCAAGAAATAAATCAAATGCTCTCAATCTCATCCTCACGAAGCCGCTCTATTTCTTGAAAAAAAAACCCTCTAATCAAATGAAATTTCTATTGAAATTTCATTTGATTTGAAAAAATTTGAAAGTAGAAAAAAATGTGCCCTCAAAATAACTTATCCTCAAGGAGACACTTTATCCCCTGAAAAGAAAACACTCTGATCTCGCGAATTGTCGTTTGAAATGAGGAATAAAAGAAAAAATCATCCCCCTTGAAACCCTATCAGGAAGTACCTGCTCCTCAACGAAAAAAATCCCATTTATGAAATTTGATTTAGCAAATCAACAAGAGTGCCATTCATTTCATTGAGAGCAGAGAGGAGTTCCTCGTGCCTCTGCCCTTCAGCTTTGAATTTCTCCTGCTCGAAGTCAAAAATTTTCAAATTCAGCTCCAATTTCCTCTTCCTGTATTTTCTTGCTGCTTCTGACTCTTCTTTTTTGCGTTCCATTTTACTTCCCAACAATTCCACCGCAGTTTTGGCTGGATCCGACATATTTGTAGCTGAATTCATAGCTTTGGTTGTAACGTGATGCTTATCGGACGTCTTCGCTTGGGCCTCATAAGATGTCTTATCTTGAAATTTATCAGATGTCTTCAGTTGAGGCTTATCGGAGGTCTTCTCTGGAATTAAATGTTCCAAAGATCAAATGATGAAATTCAAATTAATTCAGTGATCAAGATTTATAGGAAATCTCTAAAAAGGTGGGATAAAATTGCTAGTGAATTTTCTCATGCTTGGATCAGGTGAAAGAAATTCGAGAAAAAATTACCTGGACCATGGCTTGCATTGTCATCTGACCATTGTTCTGGAGGATCAACGTCCCAGGAATCAATGTACTTCTGTTGAAGATTCGTGAGAATATATATATATACAAATTTGGATAATGTAGAGAAATTTCTCCAATAGAAAAAAATGTCTCACGGAAATATCAGGAAACTCCTCCACTTCATCCAGTTGTTCCAGGTTAACGTACGATGGTTGGCGTTTAAGTTCTGCATGATGAGTCTCGTTTAGCCCTAATCGCTTCAATCCCTTATCGTGCTTGTGCTGATTTGAGGATTTGGACAGTCGATATTCTTCATCATCAGAATTCTCCAAGTTTATGAAAAAGTCTCCTCTTTCACGCAGAGAAGATCGATCGGATATACATGAGCCATTCTTGTCGTGAGTGTCCCTTCCATTGTGCCTCAAGGAATTTTCACTAGGACGACTGGAGGAACCTTTCGCACCATAGGTGTGGAATGAGCTGCGCTGATATTTGTCCAAAGGACAATGAGTGACGTCATTGGTGGGATAATTGGGTGGAGGTCTCGCTGGATTAATTGTGTTGAATACATTTGCTGAACGGAAGGATGATTTAACAAAGCTGTGCAGTGGATTTTTATTGTAGGCACCAGATGTGCATGTGGCCGTCTTCACCGTACGGTTGTTCTCCATACGCATCCTCTTTTGAGCAGGTTCATAGCCTCGAGCGAAAGAAGAACGACTCGATGATGGGAAGCCGCCCTCTTCAATATTGGGCATGCCATAGGATTCAGGTCCCAACAAATCCAGCAATTCCCTCTCCAACTCATCCAGCTCCTCGAGAAGGGGATCACCTCCGCCTGTACCCCCAGCGTGTCGTCTGAGTTTCGCTGCCTTGGTCGTAACAGTTCTTTTCCAATCTTTCCAAGACTGTTAAAAAATGGATTTGATTAATTTAGTTCATGATCAACACTTTGGAAAAAGTTTAATTATTCACCCTCATGGCTTGCTCTCCATCCTTCCTCATCACTCCACCGTCTGCTGCGTTTATCGCAGCAGCCAAACCATCTTTTAAAGCCTCCTAAAGAATCCAAATTGATATTTCGTGATTAATTGATGCTCCAATATGAAATTGTATATAAAAGTCGAATTCAATTGATTTTGTCAATAGAATATTTTGTAAATTGATGATATTAAAAAAGGGTTCTGACGATTTCTCTTGAGTTATCTCTTGAATAGTCTCGAGATAAGTACTAGTAAAAAATGATTCCATCCTTGTGTTATTAAAATTTTCGGAGAAACAATGTTTTTTACTTTCCAGCATAAATATTAGAAAGAAAAAGGCTGCGGCCAAGTGAAAACAAAATGAGGAGGAAGTTGCATAATTTTCAATACAACTAACTCAAAAAAATAATGGAATAGCAAATCAATAGAATACCTTAGAGAATCTACTGGAAACGAAAGACATGTTGTGAGTTGAATTCTAATGGGATGAATTGAGTAATGAGTGTTTTTCATTTTTTCCAAATATCCATGCATGCTTTAAGGGTGTTGTCAGGGTCAGAAATATTGAATTCATCAACGAATTCACCCATTGAACTTCGCAAACTAAAGAAAAAACATAATTGTATTGACTCTTGCTTCAAAACTAATAATCCGAGATAGAAATTTCAAATTTGAATCTAAATTTTCAACAGAATACTAGGAAAAAAATTCTCGAAGTAATGAGTCTACCGAATGAATCAATTTTGATGTTCTGTTTAGAAACAAACTCACCAGTTTCGCCTTCGAATTAAAAGCCGAGTCTTTTATCAGACCAAACTCCAAAGCAGGATTTTCCTTCATATAATCCAATGCTGCTCTTCTGTGGATATCCTTCATTCGTGCCATGATTGAAGTTTGATATCTCAATGTGTGAATGGAGATTGAAAAATTTTCGGGAATAATGCTGAAAACAAAACAATCAATGAATAAACAAAATGAAGTGCGCTGCGATAGAGAGAGGGAGAGACAGAGAGAGATAATTCTACTCCACTGTATATTGATATCTTAGAGGAATCGTGGCTTAGCGATGGAAGAATTCTTCAATTATCCCAGCACGAACTTGTGCCCCAACACGAGCTGGAATGTCTCCAGATAGCCCGTTTTCTTCACGATCATCAACCNCCAACACGATCTGGAATGTCTCCAGATAGCTCGTTTTCTTCACGATCATCAACCGCTTTCTCGCCACCCTCATCATGAACACGTGGATCAACGAACTGAGCTACAGGCATCTTCCACTTGATAGCCATATTATGTAGCACTGCACAGGCATTACAAATCCGGGCTGAAAATCATGGAATTTCCTCAAATACTCTGGAGGAGACAGGGGAATCGCGATGGACACTATTTATTATAGAACAAATGTAGAACGGAGGAGGTAATTAATTTGGCCTTGGACTGAACACCTGCGAACTCTGGGGTGTAGTGCAATACTCGATCTTTCAATAGACATCTCCAAACACCCTTAAATGCTGCGAAACATCGTTCCACAGTCGACCTTGTTCGAGCATGGCACCTTGTATATCTAAATTCTGGTGATCCTATAGGCTGATTCAATATTGGAGTGAGTAAATACGGCAATAAGGCATAACCGGAATCACCTTGAAATAAGAAAGAAAAAAACGTAGACTGAACCAGAATCAAATCTCAATCTAGTGGTACCCAGTAACCAGCAGTCCCGTCGTCCAGCATCGTACTGTTCCCTCAGATGAGCAGATAATCTGGATGATGCAAAAACTCGTGAATCATGGGCTTTTCCTCCGAAGCAAGCATTGAGGGAGAGGATGCGAAGTTCATGATCACATACCTGAAGAATATCGCTATTGTAGCTGTGTTAAGGTCAAGAAATGAAACCAAAACCAATCGATTAAAGAGAGATTCCTCAATTGATTACTTCCGGCTTCATTCCTTCTCCCCCCCCCCCCCCCACTCCAGAAAGGCCCACGCTGCGAAGACAAAAAAAAACTCGGATTGAAACATGGAAGAGGGACTTTCCGCTTGAAAAAGCACCCTCTTCAATATCCTTCAAGGAAAAGGATCGGTTCGCGGCACACCCTGTATATCAACTAGTGATACTCACAACTTGTACGTTCAAGGAATGACTATGCTTCCTGTTGAAGAAGTGAGTCTCTCTAACTCCCGCTGGCTTCACGATTGACACATGGGTTCCATCAATCAAACCCATTATACCGGGGAATCCCCATTTCTCCCAGAATCTACCCGAAATGATATTCTAATTGAAAAATTACACAGGCAACTTTTTCCTTACTTCATGAGCTTCAATCAATTTTATTAGCAGTATGCTTCCGGATGGCAATCGATGTCTACTCGCCTCCGATCAATTTCATCACTCGATATTGAAGGAGAGAAGAAATAGAAGAAGAACCCACAATTCGAATAGTTGATACTTGCTGAAACTTTTTTGAGGGGTTGAGGGGATGTTTAGAATCAATTTTCAGTTGGAAAATTCTTGTGGGCTATGACACCCTGGATGTGAGAATTACTTTTGTAAAATATTAATCAAAATTTTGACTTCTAAGTGACAAACACCGACCATTCGAACAGAAAACTCACGTGGGATATGACACCCTGGGTGTGAGAATTGTCTTCGTATAATAATTATTACGTTTCAGATGATCCATCATCATCTCCAAGCAAAATTAGAGAATGTTGAAATCAGACGATAGCAATGCTCCAATTCGGAAGCAAAACAAGCAGGGGTTGGGGCTTTCAAGTGCATCGCCTTTTGCGTTATTAATGATTTTTGTCTTACATTTCCACCAATTTTATTGGTAGTATGCTTCCGAATCGATCCGTATGTATGACCAGTCGTTTTCGAGATATTCGCAAAAAATCTTTTGGGTACAAAATTGAATATCTCATCAACTACTAGTCCGATTTGACCCACCTTCGAAAGCAATCGTTGTTATACTAAGAGACAACTTTATGCCAAACCTCAAGTTGATATATTAATTTTTACGGAAATTAGAGTGCACACAACGATTTTAGCGAAAAAAAGAAAAGTAGAAATATCTCGAAAACTTTATGAGGACGGGTATATGTTTTACTTGATCTATATAGAGGGCATCAAGACGAAATTTTGAGAGCTGAAAAATTGAAATCGGCCCAGTCGTTTTTTGAGAAATTTGCAAGAAACTATAAAATAACAAATCGTTTTTCCTCAAAAACTATTGGACCGATCGAGCTGATCTTGTGCACAGAGTTAGTCCTTACTAACACCTATAATCTGACAAAATTTTGGATCATTTGGAATTACTTCAGTCCTTTATTCGTTTTATTTTCTAAAAGTTGATCATAGGCTCAAGCGAACTGACGACCCGCACATACAGACACGGTGCTCAAACTTTGTATTTTTACGTTTCTGACCATTCTACATCATTTCCAAGCAAAATTAGAAAATCCGAAAATCGACCGATTACAATGCTTCCGATTCGGAAGCAAAAAATGAAAGAAAATGATTCATAATGGCACAGTCAACGCAGATTGTTTTTTTTCCAGGATCTGGGTTTGTCAGAGTTTGGATACTCAGAGTTAATTGATATCATCAAATTATTCATAGCCAACCCTGTTTGAATCCGCTCAATTTCTTCAATTGTATTCGGGAAATGAATCCGTCGGTGCATAATTTGATTCAAAGCCTCAACAACTCTATGCAGGTAGCGACTGACAGAAGTCTGACTCATGCTTGCCAAGAATCCACCAACTTTTCGCTGATAAGATCCCCCTGAGAAGAAGTCCAAAGCGGCGAGGACTTGGAAATGAATGGGAATCGCATCTTGTCTATTGGCTTGTGGTAAAACCGGAGTCAGCTCCTCAATGAGTGACATTGCACCCCATTTAGTGAATCTAGAAAATGATGGGCACGAACAATAAACGTTATTTTGGATTTTAAAAAGTCTTAAAATAAGATTTTCCAGAAGTCTCAACGTTTCAGTTGAATCTCATGCTTCTTCGATGTTCTTTCACCGGCACGGATGATTCACTGTATTTTTTACCTATCTGAATATCTAATTTCGGTTACTAGTTTGAGATGTCGTCGGTTGGATTAATCAATTTTTTCCTAGAAATGAACAAACAATTGTTTTCACACAATTTTTTTTCATATTTTGTTATAGAATACTATTGATATTCTTGATGATGTTTAGGGCCAATGGTCTTATGGTTTTCACGAAGAAATACCATTATAGGGTCTTAAGGGTTCCAAGAGTCCCAAGTGCCGTGTACAAACACAGAATACTTGTTTGCTGCAATTACATTTACATTTATAGGCGTATGACATAAAGGGTCGAATGAATACAAGTTCAGTCCAATAATTCGCTACCTGAAAAGTCTGATGAATTCTCCTTCTGGGATATCGAAAGGATTGACCATGTCACGGATCTTCCGGCGATATAATCGTAGTTGATAATTTATTCTTCTTCTCCTTCTTCCTCTGGCTCGGATTAGGCCATTCCCCAAAAGTAACCCGATGATTTCATCCATTTGCCTATGATGTAGACATCATTATTGAATACGTCTTTCGGGTTGTAAAAATGAATATTATCAATAAAAAAACAAACTTACCATTTGATTTGAATCCAATTTAATGATGAATTTTCACTTTTTGGAGCACAAAACCTCTAACCAATTCCGGTCACCTAAGACCATCCAAATGTCTCGGCGATTATTATCAGATAATCAGTATAACTTCAATCCAACTCTTATTATTCTCAGACGAGTCCTAATTATTTTTAATTAACAATTTTCCATCCCAAATTTCATTAACCTCATTTGCTCTCCAATCTAAAAACTGACGGACAGCGCCATCTCCTATTCATCATTATAAAACTCAGAAACTCAATCCGAAAACGCTCCGTCCCCCCACCGTCCTACCCACCGTCGCCGCCGCCGTCGCACGATTATCTGAATCGCCCCCCAGTGGTTCCCCCAAAACCGCTCGGGGTTGGGGTACTCATTCAGTATACGCTGTACCCTCACCGCGCACACACGTCGGAGCCGCGCTATTCCGATCGGTGTGGAGGTGGGGTCCTATACTCACAAGCGGCGGGGGGTGGGGGTAAAATTTTTGACCCCCAAATTTCAATTTCGTGGCCGAGGGACCAGCGGTTCTCCCGGAACCGCTCGGGGTTGGGATAAGTGCCCGGGTGACGCACCCGCAGCCACGCTGTACCCCACCGCTCACACACGTCGTAGCCGTGTTACTCTGACAGGTGTGGTGGTGGGGCCATATCGACTTTAGGTGGGGGGCGCCATAGTAGTTCCCATACTATGGGGTTCTATTTTCTATTAGTAGAAATCTAAGAGAATTCGAATTTAGAGAGAAAAAATTTCCGCTTCACCCAGCCGGGAATCGAACCCGGGTCTCCCAGATACGCTAAGGACACTCTTACCGACTAAGCTACCGGGAACCACAGAAATATAATAATATAATATTAATATAATATTAATATAATATATAATATTGAAATAAATATATAAAACTAAATATTTATCTCAATCGTCGATGTATAATTATTATCATTTTGTGATTACATAGCGGGGAAACAATGGAGGCAGGAGCCGCAGGACGTGGGGTGGCCGTCGTGGCGGGAGCGGTGGACGTGGAGGTGGTGGACACGGAGGTGGCGGACGTAGCGGTGGCGGATATCGCGGGGAATATCGCAGTGGATATCGGGGGGGATATCGTGGACGATTCCACCGCGATAACCATTATTATTGAATCATTTTTTTCATGATTTTTTTTTGTGATATTCAAATTGTACTGTGATTGTTTTTTTCGACTTTTTTTTGTACATATTTTTTTAGATTTTTTTTTATGAATAAAAATTATTAAATTCCCAAAAAAATCGTTTTTTTCATGAAGTTTTCAACCCCTTTAATATTAATTACTTTATAATAATTTTTTGAAAATATGGAAATTCATTAATTTTATCGGGAAGTTGTTGGTTTCAACGAGTTAACCGTTCAAACCCATTCGAATTAATTCGAATAGCGAAACATGGCAACATCCCAGTGATTCATTTAATAATTGAGACGCCACTCAAAAAGACGCGACTTAAAAAGACGCTACTTAAAAAGATGCCACGTGTTTATTACGGAGTTGGTAGCACTGCAATATAGCCACACACACCAAGGAGGGAGCTCGGCAATTTACAAATTGAATTTGGTGCATGAACGATAAATTCCACAGATATTTTTCAATTGAGTTCCGTGCATAAATAAATTTTGGAAGAAGCAAATTAAGTCGGAAAATCTGGAATAAGTAATTAAAAGTCAATGGAAATGATGACTGTGAAGTACAATTATTTGTTTTGCTTCGATTGTCAATTGGAAAGATGATCTATCGTGTGAAAAATAAATGAGCCGAATTGAATTGGAAATAAAAAAATTTATAGGATATAAAAACGATTCCTTGCTTATTTTGAAAAAAAAGGAAACCTCCCTAAAAAATAAAAACAAATGTTTTTGTAAAAAAACACCGCCAAGAAAAAGTTTGGGTTGGTTCTTACTGAGAAGTATAAATTTTTGAAGAATACAAAGAAATGAAAAAGAAAGCCAAGTCAGCAATGTCGAATGAACGAACATAGTGCACAATCTGATTTCTATAAGTAAAATAGTTTCAAATCGAATAAGGATTTTGAAAAATTCTTCATGAAATAAAAAATTACTAGAAGGAGAACCAACGTTCTTGGCGCGGAGTTGTTCAACTCACTGTCTAGCATCAATCTAATCCGCCATCTTTTGATTCGCGCCAAGGACGTTGGTTCTCCTTCCAGTAATTTTTTATTTCATGAAGAATTTTTTAAAATCCTTACTTGATTTGTAACTATTTGACTCACAGAAATCTGATTGTGCACTATGTTCGTTCATTCGACATTGCTGACTTGGCTTTCTTTTTCATTTCTTTGTATTTTTCAAAAATTGCTACTGCCCAGTAAGAACCAACCCAAGCTTTTTCTTGGCGCTGTTTTCTTAAAAATTTCCAGTAAAAATTTGCTATTTCCCTTAGTTTCGGAAATATCGTTGAAAAAATCACTGACTCAATTTTTTTGATTGTGGATTCTCAAAGCACAATCGCTTCTCCACTTCCCAAATTTTTAGTAAAAATTCTGTATCTCCCTTAGTTTCCGAGATATTTGTAAAAAACTCACCGATTAAACTCCTTTAGTTGTGAATTGTCAATGCACATTCCCCCCTCTGCCCCGCTTTGCAAAATCCCCCCTCCTCACCAATTTCCGGTTTCGATTGGTTTCGAATTGGATAACTCCGGATTTGAGTTGATGGTTGAATCAGTAACCGAAAATTGTCCGATAATTATTACTCATTTCTCAAGTAAATTTGTATTATTAAAACTCAATTACCGATTATTCAAGGAAGTGAAAAATTCATATTTTATGTGAACTGCCAAGCAAGTAATGTGAAATGGCTGAATATAAAATACCAATTGAAAAAATAATGGTCATTTCTATATTTCCATTTATAATTACTGAAATAATTTGGAATTTTTAATGACGATTACTCAATGACAATGTAATGGATGTTCAGAGCGATTCAGTTATTGATTACTTATGTAATTTGTCATAAGTGCGTTGAGTTATTCATTTTCCAATTAATAGAAAAATTTCACATCCAATTACTTAAGTGACTGAATAATAGAGTAACGGTAATTTGACATTACAATTGTCCCGAATCCTGTTTACAAGAAAGGCTCCAACCAACGCTTGTCCCGTGAGGTACAACCACTCATTATTTCCTATAAATTTACATCGATTCGATATATCCAATGTATTAATATCGAATCATTACTCACCATAATGAAAAGATATTAAATACATTAAACCTATCTGATTCGTGTACATAAATCAATAAACAAAATGATACTCGACCTCTCCTTTTGCACTGTAAAAGAGAAACAAAGAATCACAATTGGAATATTTCAATTATATATTTATATTAGATTGAGATATAAATGTAAAATTTTACCTTTTTTCTTCGAAAAATTTTGACGAAGAATTTTCAGACTTATGATACTTTTCAACTGAGGAGGGATTTCGAATGGACAATAATTCATTTCTGTCCTTCCATGTTTTAAACCTTCAATTTAAGAAGTATTTGTAGAATAATATAAAGAGATAGAGTAGTATATGATTAACAAGCGACAAAAATAACCTTTCATTCTCTTAGTATCATTTCCATTTTCGAGATCGTTGATTCTGTTGATCTGAAGTTAGACTCTATCACACGATGTTCTTGTTCTTTTCCTCCGTGATTCTCCAGCCGTTCTTGAGTTCCCTCTCTTCTCCCTGTGACTTTTTATGCTTCTTCGATGGTCACGCCTTTTTCGGTTCACATTTTCGTGATTTTTATCTCCATGATGAGTTTCTCCATAATTTATATTATTAAGGATGCGTTGAATTTGAATCAGACAAAATCTATATAATAACATATAATTCTTCAAAAATTTCTATCTACATCAAGGTGAAACCTATCTTATCTTGTGTTATATCAACCTTTCAGTATCGTCTTTCATTGTACATGATTCCAATCCATTAATAACTTCATCCACGATACCTCTCATGCAACCTTCATCAAAAGGTTTTATATTATCTTCCCATTGTTTCAGATAATTGGAGAGCATTTGATCCAAGTCATCGTTGACTACTATTTTTTTGAAATTTTCATATGAGTACCCCCACATGTATTATAGAGTAAAAAATTGATAATAACGATTGTAATGGAATATCTTGCAGTTTTCCAAGTCATCAGTCTCCATTTTCATCGATTCAGTCGTTTCATTCTCCATTGGTACAACGTCAAGAAGTAAAATCTCCTGCGTCAAGAAGTAAAATTTCCTTCCTATATAGAATATATAGAATAAATTATACACAGACTGAATAAATAATAATATTCACACCCTTCTCTTTAAGATCTTTTTTACGTTATTTTCTCTGTTTTCGACCTATTGACTCATTGACTATATGAGATGAGTATTATACAAATGCTTCTGTTTGAAATCAATTACGATTTGATGAGCCGGGTGGTCGGGAGGAAAAGTGAGGTTCGGGTTAACGATTTGATAATTTGCCGGAAGTAATTTGATGAGTTTTCTTTAATAAACAAATTACTATGCACTGAAAATTACACAACACAGAGTTCAATAAATAGATGATTTCCGAGTGGACTGTATACAACTGAACAAAAAGATGATTTGCGAGTACAATGTTCGATAATAGTTGCGATGATTTTCCGGCACTTTCACTCGATGAGGTTCGATGGCGTACTAAAGATACGACACGCACAATCGTCCTCGTGCGTGTTCGTCGATGCCCGAAGGTTTCCGAGCGAGCAAAATTCGACATTTAGCCCGACTGAAGGATGATTTTCAACATCCCGCCCGCCCTGCGTCACCTCCAGGTGACGATGTATATCTGATGATTATGATGACGTATCACTGTTGACCTTCCAAAAGGTCGTCGTTGATCGGCAAAGGCACCAGCCTGTGGATGGACCGTTGAGTCTCCTGGTTGCCTTTCCTCAGTGTGACAACTCTGGTCAGGTTGTCTTGTCCCGGATGAATTGCGATGACTCTAGCCAGAGGCCACTTGGCTGGTGGCTCCCG